CACGCCACTAAAAGAGTCATTATTGTCACGACAACAAGAGGTCGCATGTCAGGAAAACAAACATCTGAAGTGCGCAGTGTTGAACAATCGACCAATGATGTAGTCGTGTACAGTATGTAGTATCTGGGGTTTCAGTAAGGGTAAAACATGTACCTTTACACTTCCAACCAACTCTCCATCCCTCCTGGTGTGCTGCTGACACTTGTTCTCACTCTCAGCCAAGATGTGCAGACAGTACACACACATGCATGTATATCCACAAACTGTGTCATCAGAGCATTTTTCTGTTGCTAAGAGACACAAACCCCTCAGACTCACACTGCTCAGGACCATCTACCTCCTTTCTGCTACCTAAAATCATGCAAACACAATGCAAACACACATTGCACGCTACACTTGACCATGGCTTTATAAGGACCTGACTTTCCTGGATGGCTGTTTCTTGTGGAACTAATCAAGACAAACTATTCACTTAGGTTTTTTTTTCTTCTTTTTTTTGGACCAATGAAATTCTAGTGTTCTGCTCATTTGTTTTTATGGGAACGAGGAGTAAGAAGATATTCTGTGGGAGAACCAGCAACCCACAGCACACATTTTACTTCTGTCAGCCATCATAAAGAAAGACAGTGAAGGGCGAAATTTAGCATGCAAGAACAATGAACACACACATGCATGTACACACACACACACACACACACACGCACACACACAGTGTAGGCACAGGCAGGTTGTCTTGCCAAAAATGTGTCAAGCTTGAGCAGTGGAGAGGTTTTCTTTTCAAAACTACAGTCATTAGTGGATGTACGTGTGTTTGCTGTTCTTGGGATGCAGTTCAGGCATACACACACGCTCTTGTAATTCTATACTTGGGAGGACATTGACATAATACATTCCTTAGCCCCTAACATTAACTAATACATTTACTTACCTGAACCTAACTACCATACAGGTGGCAGATCAGCAAACATACATAGTCATCATATTTAACAGTTATATTTTGGTTGTTTTGGAAGAAACTGACAAACAGCCTTTTTTTTTTTACTTCCATAGTTCTTTTCCAGAAGGGTAACTTACTTCAAAGTATAAATGTTAATTTTACATCTGTCTATCTGTATGCTTCTACACACACACATAGTTCAGGCCTTTGAGTTGCTGCCCAAATCTTGTGTTCAAACAACTGAGCCAATCAGATTTGTAGGTGGGATGCCATCTTCCCGTGCCAGAGCTGGGAAAATACATTTGCTACATCCATAAAAAAAGAGGCAGAAAATCTACCACAAGCAGCATGGATGAAAGGACCAAAGCTGTACAGATTGTCTTACACCAGTAAAAACTCTTAAATCTGTATGTTTCGTGAAAAAGTGAAGCACTCCTGACTACAGTTACCTGCATCTGAAATTACACCCTTCTTACCATATATATGGTGTATTATGTTTCTTTTCTACTCCTTTGTTTAGAGTGTAAATATATTGTTTGACATTGGTTATAGAAGTACTCATATCTCCATCTACAAGTTATAGCATCAAAATATACTGGCAGTACCAAAAGCAAAAGGACTCAGAATAATGTGTGTGTATGTATATATATATATATATATATATATATATAATAATGTTTTATATCACT